AAGCTCTGACTCATATATGATCACTTCTTAGTTTTATCTAAAAGAATAACATTAAAACAATTTTTAAGCTTCGTGCATTATCACACCTATACCAGGTCTTCCCTCGATTACTTTCCCCTCATTTTCATTGTCTATTGCATCCGATACCTATCATTCTTTCTCCTTCGATTTCATCTCACATTTTCACGGTCGGATTGTCGCTTTTTCGAGAATTAAAGATTCTCGACATCAGTACTCGTTTTACATAAAGATCAGAGCATTAAAAACGCCGAATACGACGAGAAATCGCAGCCCCTTGCTCGTTTTCGTGATCTGCACTATATACACTCTACTAACTTTTTCAGTCTCTGAGCATTTGACTAATTACTGTTATACAATATGATAGTCCAATTGCTTCAATTGGATATTGCAATTATATATATATATATATATATATATATATATATATATATATATAATTTCTAACAAGTTAAAGCATTTACTCGAAGGGTTTCCAATGGACCCTGGAGAACGATTTCGCACGTCTTATTCCATTTCGTCGCTTGAAATGCATGAAATTCAGTTAAGAATCATGACGTTCGTACTCCGCTTTTTCCTCATGAAAAACGTTATGCTTCCCGTGATAGGAGGTATCCACATCTTTTTAGAATTTCATAGATTTTTTATCACTTTTTTATTTAAACAGCCAGTGTATATTAAAACCAGTTGCTCGATTTTTACACATATTCCTCGGAAAACCATCTTGTACAGACGATTTTCACAAAAATTAAATATAATTTTATCATTATTTTCAGAAAGGAAAATTTTTAATTATTTATTACTTAAAATATTATTATTAAAATATCACTGTGATTTGAATTATATATTACAGTAATAAAATAGTTAATAATCTAGCAGGTATCAATAATTATAAATTATAAATTATAACAATAATAAATTCATGTAAAATTTAATGTAATTCAAGAACACAAAGTATTTAATGAATTCAAAGTATTTTATGATATTATTGCCAACTGTTGGACTGAATGTGATGTTGACTCTTTAAAATATATTAAAGGTAATTTTAAAAGTAGCTATTTTAGTTCGGGGTAACTTATAAAAGTATTTTTAAGATTTAATTTCACGTTTGAGAAGAAGCAATAAAATGAAATTTCTATAATGTATTGGGTAAATTTTGCAAACGGAAATGAATTTACGCTCGCGAAATCAAGTTTGCTTTGCAAAACGAAGAACCTCCCTCATCGAAATGAAGCAGCCGCTCATCGAAATGAAGAAGATCAAAACGAAGGATGAGACGAAGAAGGATAGCAGTTTCTCAGCTCTCCTTTATTTTCTCGAATTTTTAATCCAAAGTAATTTAAATCCCGGTGATTCGCATTCTGAACGAAAGGGGGGTGGGGGAGATATGCCCGGAGACTCGCGTCAGCCGTTCATCGTTCCCTTTCGTTTTCGTCGTCGTCTCCTTTCCTTTTGCCTGGCATCCATATAAAGCGGGTTGCGTTGCATTGTGTCGGAGTTAATTACGCGCCCGCACTATAAACGCAGAGTCATAGTCACTCGACCAGTCGGACGTGTATAAGGGCTCTGAGGCGCTACCGAGTCGAAGAAAAGAAAGAAGAGAAAAAACGACAGCATGTTGACGAACCGCTTGGCTGCTACCTATCAGCCAACCTCACTTTCTGCCTCTATCTTTTTCCCGAGAGATGTACAATGCCAATCGTTTAAGAGGCTACGATGAATAGTGAACGACTATTGAGTGCCAAAGTTGGGGCTCGAAATTGTTTCCATTGTCCAGACAATTTGTCAAGGTGTGTAAGACGAGTAGCAAAACTATTAGTCGCCGATTTCTCTCTTTTCACGTGTTTTATGGTGAACAAGAAGTAACCGAGCAAGAAGAAAAAAGTAATGAAGATTTGCTGGACGCTGGAATAGATTTGGGATGGAGATATTTTTCGTGCATAGTTTGCTCCCACAACAATCATTTAACACAAGACTTGTGTGCTTTTCAGTCCCGCTGTTTATATTTGCTCATATTTTGTAAATTGTCTAAAATAAATAGAGCATCTGATTCATTCTTTAAATTATCTTAATCTCTTTGCTTCGCGCATGATACGCATGTATTAATGAGTGAGTACTTTATAAGGAGATGCAAACAGATGGGGAATGATTCGGTTATAGTCGTATCGGATGAATGCAGACGAGATTGGAGGAGATTGTTAAAAGCGTAAATAAGTGTGATAGTGGATACCGTGAATATTTTCGATTTAAGAAATTAATTTATTTTTTTATCTATCTCGAGTTTTCATTATACAATGTTTCATATGATTAAAATTTGTTTTTATATTAATAGTAATTTATAAAGATTGGCACATTATTAGTAATGAAGATTACTAACTGTGTGTATTAGAAATACGTAAGTTAGAGTATACACAGTTATTTATAACAATATAAATAGACGAATTATTGCTGTAATCAATCGAATCTAATGATTATATATATAAATTACTTTTGAATACAAGAACGTTTTGATTTAATAATTATAAATAAAAAAATTTTATATTTTATTTCTGTTATATTTATATATAAATCTTAATTTCATATCAAAATTATTTAAAAAAAATTATTTTTTGGAGAATACTTTATGCGTGCGCGTCATAAGGTAGACAAAAAGTTACTAAAAATCGACCAAGGAGTCAGGACTACTTGAGTAGAGCACGACCTTCGCTAACACCAACGATATCGACGAAGCTTTGTGAAAGCCTCAGAAAGGTCGGCTGAATCTGCAAAGTCAACATTGTATACACTTACGAGTACGTATCCCTCGGGCCAACTTTGTATACACTTACGTGTACGTATCCCTCGCACCAACATTTCGAAGCAGTTAAATTGTCATTTGGATATCAAAGGGACAACACCCGGCGCTGTGCCGAGAGTGGATAAGGGCGCGCGAGGTAATTTTAGCGCAGCTGAAACACAAACACCATTCGCCGAGGTCTTACGATTCACACCCCAAATAGACGAATAGATAGATGGAGACGGGCAAGAAAGAGAAAGAACTTACGTATACGCATCGCGAAATCGCCTTCAGCTATTGTGGCTCAAAGCATAATGGAATCGGGGAATCTTGCTTTTGCTTTCATGACCTTCAACTGGACGTTATAGTTGTAGCTATTTCTCATTCTATTGTAGAGATTCTTTTTAGTTCAGGTTCAATTTAATTCCAAAGTTCTGTTTTTTATCGCAAATAAAGTGAATCTAAGCATTCTAGTTACTTAATATAGAAAAACTATGCTAGAATGTTTAGAAAAGTTGAAAAAAAGTATGAGGAAAGTTATTGAGTTTCTAATGGTAATTATAATTCTGCAAATAAGCTGCATTACATCCTCATCTGCATGGCTTTTATGGATTACTAATTTATAATTTCGTTTACGTATAGTACAATTATTAATATTTATTCTAGGTCTATATCTAATTTCTTTTTTTTTTTGCACCATGACATTCATAAATAAAATAAAAATAAAAATTAATAAAAAAATTAATAAATCTTTATTGGGTAAACAATGTATTGATTCGACACTTCATTTTTTCAACTGCTATTACCAAAGCTACATACTTCTTTTCCCATTTTCTCTCTAACGCTTGTAAGGTATTTATTGGCTTCTTTCGACCCATACCTCATTGTTTCTAACGCAGATTTTTCGACTAGCACACGTCTATCCGATGAAAATCCTACAGTTAACTGGGAACTTAATAGCCTTGGCAATTGGATTTAACCATTGCTCTTTGCCTAAGGAGGTGCCATTTCACGCTTCTCGATTCGATCTATCCTTGCCCGCGGGACCTTCTGTCCCTATTTCGAACAGTACCTCATCCATCCTTCAATAGATACACGATTGAGCATCGAGCGCATGCGACAAACTCCTTTCTTTTGTTGCCTCCTCTCACTAGTAAATATTTCCGCTAAACCTTTTACACTGTCACAACTTATGACCAGCTCATCCCACGCTACTAGTAATTACTTTAAAATAACAAAAAGAATGAAAAATTCTTAATGGTACTTTAAAAAATCTAACAGCTTCTCAGGATAACATTAATATTTTTTTTAAGCATTTGTTAAGAATGAAAGTTAAAATTTTTTAAATTAAATATTGCTTAAATTAAAATAAATTTAAATTATAAAGTAAAATTTATTTATTGAATCATTAAGACCTTTTCTAATAATCCTCTCTCTTTTATCTCTATGCTGCTCATTAGGTATCACTTACGCATCCGATTAGCTCTAATTATTTTAACCTAGCGGCTAACTGTTGAATATATCAAAGCGTACGAATACAATGAGCTAATAAGTAAAGAAAATCTCAGAAAAGCTTAAATTGGAACGTTGAAAATTTATATCTGAAAAAAGAAAATCTAAGTTAGCAAGACACGCAGCCCGTAAAATCGGATCTGGAGTGCGAGCACGATTAGCTGGTTGTGTTAACGCGCTCTTCACGTAATACTATTAAAGAGACATTTTCCAGTTTTCGCGTCTAATCCTTACGGAATTCAGTGAACAAACCGCTTTCCTCCCTCCTCATTTCCCAGCCCATTGTTCAATGCTTTCACGCCTGCCTGCATTATCCCTTTCTCGCTCAGTCTACTAATTACCGCTGAGCATCATCCTGCGTCCGCATATCAGCAAAGCCCTTTTTCACGGGCCGCGTGTAAATGTGCCATAAATGTGGTGGTCTAATTTTGCTGAATGCTTAGCAGTTACCAATGGCAGCCATAAGCACTCACAGGTCCTATAATTTACGCGACAATGCTATACTCCTTTGTTAGTTAGGCTGCGAATTATTCGACGCCATTACTTTTTAAACTGAACTTAACATATGAATGCCTAGTGATGCATCGACACGAACTTAAAATGAATGAATTTCAATAATACTAGTGCTTTACACTTATAATATACTTCGATCTTTATTTTTATTAAAGACGTTTTTTGAACATTATTTTTGCAGATTCTTTGGCAGAGTTTGAATTTGAAAGAAAATCGCGCCAACATCCAGCAGCCGACAGGGATCAAGTCAAGTCTCCACTTCAAGGTACGTTCAGATTTTTGAATTACTACCTAAAAATGTATTAACCATTTTCGCGTAGCTGATAGTATTTAATTATTTTATTGGTTTTAATGAACATTATTACAAAATATTGCTGTCATTTATAAATGTAATATAATGCATTCGCATAGATAATTAATGCAATTAAATTTTTCTATTCATGTAACGTAATTATGATATAATTAAAAGAATGTACATAATCTTTAATTAATTTTGGTATAAATTTTTACAAAATTATTCTATCATAATTCATTTTATTATTAATATTTAAAATGTGATGAGTTTATGCGCATTGAGTAAAAAACAATAAGTTTCAGTATATTTGGAGAGAATAAATAATATTGATACAAGATTGATTTATGGCCAAAGGATTTTTATATTTATTTAGAAAAAATTATGCTAATTTATAATTCAAATTAATGTAATTTTCTAATTAAATACTGTGATTAACATAATGTACTGTATGAAGCAACTATTATTTTTTCTGTAAAGTAACAGTCATCTTCATTAAAAATATATTTAAAAAAATAGAGTTTTAGGTGCAGATGTTCTATATTTTATTTAATCAGAATTTGTATTTTTTTTCTAAAGATATTCCTCGAATTAATTCAATATATCTGTTTTAAATAAAATAAAAATGTAATTATCATCAATAATATTATTGATTGTGTTTTTATACAAGCTTGAGGTTTATAATTAAAGTTGAAAGCGTCATCAATCTAAAAATAAAAAGAGCTAATTAAATTTATAAACTTGTTTTTGTTATATCAGCTAACTCAACCACATATATTCTCCAAAGTTTGGAATAGATGGTTATACGATAGTTATGATACTCTCTTAACAAACCATTCAAGTGCTCAGTTATTAGCACAGCTGCAGAATGAATCTTTCCTAAGGCGTGTTACAGAAATTAGAAATACGTGCACCACTTCTCACTTCCAACAATCTTCTTTAGAAATAAATAACAATATATTCTATATAGATGGCACATCAATGGAAAAAATGAAAAGAGGAAGAAAAAAGAATGGGTAGTGAGTGGGAAAGAAAAAGATAAATAAAAAATTTACACTTCCCCAGATTTTTTCGAAATTCGTATGCTGAGAAACGGTAGGGGCACACTTTCTTCAAACCAAAATCTAAGTTCGATCTTTAATTAGAATCTAGCGAGCTCCCAACTTGCCAGCTCAGCTGCTTTCGCATTTCTTGCACCCGAACGTTATCGCACCGCACTCGACAGAGCGTCTATTCTTCGACTTCTTACACAACTTGTATTTGTCTTTACTCCACCTACTAGTTTCATCTCAAGTTTTCGCTAGGGCAAAAACAGCAGCCGCAATTATTTTGCAAGTGGCCAAGGAACTTTCCTCCGAAGATGGAGGCTGTCTTTTCTCCGAATTTCCACGGAGTGAAGAAGAGCAAAGGAATTTTTTGTCGAGTGTGATTTCCGCGAAAATTTCAATTAAATGGAAATTGAGTTCGGGCTCCTACGCTCCATCAGGCAATAAATTTTGTTGTTTACGAGGTGGAGAACCACCTTGCCAAAGTTCTTGTAATACATTTATTATTCTTTGTAGTAAATGTCATTAATCTACGATTGAAGAAATCATATTCCTCAGTTTCTATTACTTTAATTCTAATGCATTCACACGTTTGATTTAGTGGTGATCAATTTATTTAATAAAATTTTATATTTAAAAAAAAATTATCACTCAAATAATTTAGAAAAAGTTTCCAATTCATCCAAAAATATTAAACTGTAATATTATAATTCTTACACCGTTAAATTAACTAATAATTTCTTATAAATTACAGTTTTAAAAAGTGTCAAATTTATGAATCTAATTCATATAAGCAAAAATATCAATTTTGTTATTAAAAACAAATGTTTTCTTATTACAAAAATAACGATTCTTAAGCTCAGGAAAGACTTTAATTTAAGATAGTATAGTAAAATTCATTTATAAATCGCATGCAAATCAATACATGCTGAATCATATTGCCTAGCCAGCATCAAAGAATTATTATTATATTCGGCGTCCTCTCTGTAACTCTGATAATTGTGATATAAAATTCTTGACTAAGAAAACTATTACAGTACTAGTCCATCCCTTCATTGGCCAAACCTCCGAGAATTTAGACTCGTGCACAAGATAAGAGTAGAGAGCATATTATGGTCACTCTGTCAGAGTGGTATACGTATGCGAAATTCGAACGACTATTGAAATACATAGAAAAATACGATGAAAAAGACAAAATGGAATAATAAGGAACGTGCGACTAAAAGTGCTGGCCCATCTTCATCAATCTTTGATTACCGAGTCACGAAACGATTAATGCCGTGCCGCGGACTTTTACAATCATAAACGACAGTTCGATATAAAAGTGGAGACTCGCCGACAGAGCACTCAAAGGATGGGCGTCGCTCGATGACTCGTCACTAGCCTCAATTCATTGGGGCCTAGTTCTTTTGAAGGCATAGGAGCGACTTATGCCACTCCAACTATTTCTTTTCTACCCTCTTCGATTTACCGCCGCACACGCGAAAACAATCTTTTTCAATGCATGTTTTTACATTCGAAAACGACGGACATTCGATTATTAACATATCAACGATTTCATTCATATTTGGTGAGTGAATATTACAATTTAAGCATGAAAATTTTTCATGCTGCACTTAAATTCGATTATTTAATTATTATTCTCTTTGTGTGTGTGTGTGTGTGTGTGTGTGTGTGTGTGTGTGTGTGTGTGTACGCGTGCACTTGTACCTATGTACTTACGTATAGATATTTAAACCGAAACATATTGAAAAATATTAACTTATTTAGCAAAGATTATGTATTTTTTAACGATAGTTAAATTTTAAAATTTGTTAAAAGAAAAAAATAATTTTCTTATCGTATTTACCTCATTATAGTTATGTAATATTCCGTTTAATATAAAAGTAATATAGTTCTTATCGGAAAATTATAAAACAATGACAGTAAAATAAATTCAAACCACATTACATGCTACATAATAATAATAATTATTATTATTACTCAGAATTTTTTTACAGTTAATAAATAATGAACGAGCGTTTTTTGTGACAACGAAATAATGTACATACATATGTTTTTGGGAATAATAGTCCTTCTATACAATTTATATATTTTATTCTTTTCTAAGAAAAGAAACGATAGAAATTGTGATCGAATGAAAAAATACCGTGTGACCAAACTAGAAGATATGAGATGAATTATTATAAAGTGGAGAGTATTTCATATTTATTCAAATTCTCGATATAATTTTAATAATTATAATTATTTCAGAATTCTAAATTTTATATATAATGTTCTATATTATAGTTTGATAAAACTAGATTTACCAACGATTATAATATGTAATTATTAATTACTACACGAAACCAATCTAACATTTACTATAAAGAATTACTATAAATAATATAAAGAATTCTGCAATATCTATGAAATGTACTAAAATGAGTTTCTATGTAACAGTAATTCCACATAAGTTAAAATACTTGAATTTTTAAAAAATATTTTTGCATTTAGTAAAATACTAACAACAGTTTCTTATCTAATTATAACTACTTAATCAACATTTACCAAGCATCTATGTATATATATTACTTTATTAGACAGTACATCAATCCTAGTATAAAACTTTATTTTTTAGTACGAATTAATATATTTTGAATATGTAAATATAAGAAAATGTAAGTTTCAATAAGTGATAAAAGTTTATAATTTTCCTTATGTAGAAGTATACGATTATAAGTAAAAGCAATGCTTTGCATTTTATGTTTCAGAGTCACGAGCTGGCTATTACAAGAACTCGGTTCTTTTCACGAGCGCAACCTAGAAACGATCGCACTTAGTAAAAGCGCAATAAATGTAGCAACGCTTGATGTACATTGACTCTATTGTCACTGTGTGATGAAGCGAAAGGAAGACAAATGGCGGAGATCGAGAAAGACAAGAGGTAGAGGAGCATTTAAAAGATACGCGGAAAATGGAAACGTGAATTGAAGAAGAAAGCTCCACTCTAGCGACACCAAAAGCAAAGACATATCAAAGACCGCGCGAATGGAAGTCGGAACTAACTCGAGAAAAATAATTGACTTCTTTTACAATTGCGGGTCGGCTTTTTGTGTCACGTACGATCTCGATCCTCTCGTGCATGAGAGTCAGATATCATATAATAACAAAGAATATCTCTTTCAGATAAGAAATTCCGAGTAAATACATTATAAATTAGTGAAAATATTATAAATACATATAAATGCTATATTCATATATGAATAAAAAATATATATGTATGCATATAAATATATACATATTCGTGTATTTATATTTATATCTATACGATATGAATATTTATATATATAACGAACAAAAGAGAGCAAAATGCATTCTTCAACGCTAAATAAGATAGAAAAAAATATTAGAATAAAAACAAGAGATATTCGAATTAATTGCATGTGGTAAATTCGAGATGGAGTATAAAAAAGAAATAACACGCAAAAGTGAAAAGATAGCCACATATAGAGAAAAAAAGAGAAAAAGATAAAATGAGAGAGTGAGAGAGAGAAAGAAAGAGAGAAAAAGAGACACAGAGAGAAAGCAAATAAAGAGAGATATTTATAAAGACTGCTTTATTGAGATTGTGTGCGCGCATGTGCATTCGCGCGTGCGTGCGGGCGTATGTGTGCGTGTGTATATGTGTGGGACAGAAAAGGAGTTAGAGGGTTTGAGAGGGAGGAACTGAGAGCAGAGGATGATAGAGCGCGTTTGCGTGTGTGATTTCCTAATGCTGGTTTAAAATAAATAGAAAGTTACAAATATAAAAAAAAATTGACGACACAAAAACGACTATACGTTCTAAAAGAAATCGAACAAAATAGTTAGTCCATTATAGTTTAAGATATAAATAAAATGGAACTCGACTCGTTCGTTCATTCGGAATTCACCGTAATCGACTCTTATTATTATCATCATCGCCATCATTAATATTATTCTCATTATACACATTCTTATTCTTCCTCTTCTTCTTCGTCTTCTTCTTCTTCTTCTTCTTATTATTATTATTATTATTATTATTATTATTATTTTTATTATTTTTTATTATATCTATAATTATTATTACTATCCCTATTATTAAGAACAATAGTACCATTATTATTATTATTATTGTAATATTTATCAGCATTATCATTATTATCATTGTAACGTATCTTGATATTGGTCAATAAATCTATGTTTGAATGGAGTTCGAATCGCAAAGATTCGTCAAAAAAAGTAAGAAATAAAAGGTTGTTGGCGTTCTCAACCAAAGTATTATTTTGCAATGAGGAATTAAAAAAAGAAAGATTGGTAGAGAGCCTTTGCTTCCTCACGTATTTTGTTTATGACATTTAAAACCAAACCTTTATAGATTAGAGTGTGATTTTTTTAAATGACTCGATAAATTATATATATATATATATATATATATATATGCGTATGTATGTATGTATGCATGTATGCTTGCATGTATGCATGTATGTATATAGAATAAAACGAAAATAACGAGTCAAAAATAAGCGAGAAATAAAATGAAACAAACAAAAATAATTAAAGTTAGTCTTTTTGAGAACGAATCCGATTTGCTTCGATCGATTTAAGGATTGAGAAAATAATGTATTATATTATGAACTAACAAGAAAAAAGAAAATGAAAAGAGAATAACCGTTTTAGAAATAAAGCAGGGGGTTGCATATAACGACGATTAGACATTACTAGCGCGTTTTTAATATAATACTTTTATTTATATAAATAAACAAAATAAAATGAAATAACTCAGTTATTCACGAGAAATATGTCTAATCTATGTGCGTGTGACACCAACCCGCCTTTCATTCGTCTCGAGCGGCGGAAATTTTTCTTCTTCGGACGCTGCCCGACTGAAAAAGCGACCATGACTTTCGAAATTCGATGATTGAAGCATCGAGAACGCGTGTAGCGAACCAAAAGGAGTAACATATGGTCTTAAAAAATCTATATTGAAATCAAATATTAATTAGTCTTTTTTACCTGCAATTTTATTAGCGACTTGTTAATTAGGTTTTTGTATTAAAAATTCTTTTCTAGTTTTCCATTAACAATGCATTTCCATTTTTAATCAATAAAGTACAATGTGTAAAAATATATTTTTATAATATCTTGCCTTTTTTTACAATTTTGGTAAAGAATTTAACGTTCTATATTGTTTTATACCATATAACTAAGAAGCTATAGGAATATTTTATCAGTTACAAAATATTTTTTCAGAAAAACTTCATAATTAATTATGAGTTATATAATTGTGAATAATATTTCATGAAATTATTATTACAATTTTAATAGATTTTAAATTATTCCCATGTCAATATTGATATAAAAATATACATTTTATAGACTGTTTCGAGGCATGACTGAATACAATTTGAAATATCAAATTTCCTAATAAACGCTTTGGTAATAAACGAGTTCGTTGTACTTGTATTTAAATGAACTTGGCTACTAAAGGAATTTTTATCAATACAAAAGATACGTAAGTTATAAATGAAGAAGAAAAAATTTGCCGTTCGATACTGGGCGTTGAAGTTTAACCTTTAAGATCCGTGTAAAAAGTCTTTTAGTTTTAAGGAATAAGGCATACTTGTGTTGTAAAGTTCACGTAATCATAGAGTACATCTAGGTATCGGCTAAGTCCGGCTAGAGAAAAGTTATTAAAGTAGAGACCGAGAATTCAAACACCGATTGCTGATCGATATTTGCCATCGCCAACTGTCACGCGTGTAATCACATATTCAAACACACAAAAATCCATGCATTCACACACACACATACACACATGCGCACGTATCTATCTATCTATCTATCTATATATATATATATATATATATATATATATATAAACACACACAAACAGAGATTTTTATACACCTACACATGTACGCATACGCATGTGCGACTATGCATATAATATACATATATACAAAGAATAGGGAAGAAAGTCACCGCTCTCAAGATATCCACATGCGTCTCCTTTTCCTCTCTTCATAAATACACGAACGGTGCATAATGCAGAAAAAATGCATTGAACTCAAAGCGCCCAAAGTCGCCAATTGCCGGCAATCGAAATATCGTTCAATACCCTTTTATGTCTTTTACACGATGATTCTTGGGTGTCATTCATCATCACATTACGTATAGATAATTTTTGACTTTACTTTTGTCACTTGTGTATCTTCCTATGCATAGCGGAGATTTGTGAATTAACACTCGCAACCATGTGAAAATAAATACAAATGTATTTATTTTCTTTTGTAATTAGTGTGTTGCGAGAGTTCTATTCTTCAATGTATAATAAAAGTAAACTGAAGCTCGGCGAGCAATAAAAAACTTTTTCTTTCTGCTATTTAAACGCCAATTAGCGTCAAAAGATCATCGAATCTACTCATATAATTCAGCATATTAATACCTATAAATAAATAATAGTTGTTATTGTAAAAGTGGTTTCTAATTTATCGCGAGGCAAACCTTCACTATCCTATCATGTTCCATTTTATCTTATTTAATGCAATAATAAAAGTATGCAATTAGTAAATTCATTTTCTTTTAATTAACTATTTAACTAAGTTTAAATTGTAAATTTGCTTAAATTAAGTAAAATATTAGATAATTCATTTTCATAAGGACTATAGAAAAAAAAATTGGCAATTTTATTTTGTATTATATATTTCATTATATATTATCTTGTAAGTCATACAATTAAAGTTTGTTTATAATCTCTATAATAAATCATTTTTTTCTGAAAAAGTATAAGTTTTATGATTTTCCTAAATAGTGCTAATTCATTTTTAAGATGATAATTAATAAATATATTAAAAAATAATAATAAATTTAATTTTTTACACTTTCTTGTTTAATTGTTATGAATATTTAGTCAATATACTATATAAATTCGTCCAAAAGATTTGAATAATTAACAGATGAATTTTTTATCTCTGTGATTTAAATAAATAACAGTAATAAATCAAGAATTTAAATAGAATAGTATAAGTGAATGACGTGCTATATTTCGACAATTATTCCATAATACTTTGCATATTCCAGTCAGCAAGGATCAATTTAAAAAATAAATGAAAGCACTATGAAGTATGCTATTTATATTCAGTAAAGATAAAGAGAAATGGGAATAAATAAAAATGTGAGAGGAAATAAGGACGTAAGAGGGATTTTAAAGACGGCAGGGTGTCGAGAGGGACGATGGTTGTTCGCCTGCAAACGACGCATTTAGAAATTCTTATCAATTTGCAGTAGCGTAACGACATGCGACACGCAAGGCGACGTCATTGGGTTACCGCCGGATCCGCCCATTTTTTCTAGCCGTAATATTTTTATAAACAAAGATTATTCGGATAAGGGACGTGGGACGGAGCCCCTCAAATTTCAATGAACGTCTTAATTACATAAAAAAGAAGAAAAAACAGCTCATTATATTTCTGAATATGAAATGACAATCACATCCAGACATCATTGAAATTACTATTCAATTATTGTTAAAGTGGATCGCGCATTTCCTTATGATTATTCTTATCTAGTTTCTTTACCCATAATACAAGGTGATAACGATCGCGCAAATTTACTATCTATACATTGAAGAAACACATTTTTAAAAATTCAATTAAAACACTTTTGAACGAAATCTTTTTCTTTCTCTAATAACTGATTATAAGTACTGAATTTTATAATATCTCTTAAATCTACACTTATTTAAGTATACTCAATCAACTACGTTCGTGGATTAACTAAAAAATTATACTATTTCGGTATATATCTTCATTAGTAAATTCCGTAGGAAAACTATTGAAAAATCTATGAAAGCACTTAATAAA